GATGCGAAAATATCGCACAGATTAAACGTAGACCAAGATAAAACGATAGATAATTAGACATGAGCGAAATTCTTATCTACGCGAAACTTCCAAATAACGATTAACGGATAAACAACTCTGGGTGCGTTGCTCGTTAATACAAAATTCGAGTACAATTTGAGTGACAGAATAGGATATTTTACACCGGATAGCTCACTACACGGAACCTTTTATGAGTCACCTATTACTCGAAAATTTTGCTCATGTCCAGCGCGTGTATCGAGGCGCTTGTGCACGGGACGACAAGAATGGTCGGCGAAGTCGAAATTCTCACTCACTTCCTCGCGGCGCATCACTTCCACCTGCAGCCGCTTTTGATATTCCTCGCACTCGTCTTTGTACTTCTCCATCTCCTCCTTGGTCTGCCTCATCTTCTTCTTGAGCACGTCGAGAAGGGTACCCTGCATTTGCGTCGACATGCTGCTGCCAGAATACGCGCGTGTAGCGGTCCCTCACTGTTTAAACGCCGCGTTCACGAGCTTCGTACGCGGTTAGGATCAAGATGGAACTCGACGAAAGTGGCGTAAAGGACGAATGTGGAAGGATATTCAGTGAACACGATGGAACGAGGACGAAGTATGTCGGGGTTATGATAGGCGACCGGCACCCGTGCGAAAGAGAGAGTTTCGTAGTCTCCGAGCTGTCGCGCACTGACGACCACTGGCTGCTGTTGACTGGAAAGCAAGATGGCTGCTCCCCGGCCATCGTGCGCATGCGCGCTGTTACCCTGCGGACGTCAAATAGTCCCTTGCCCTTGTCCCGACGCTTGATCCACGATATTTTAGAGAAACATCCATCGAGGCGAAATGGGATGCAATTATCGATACGGTGATTCATACTCGAGCGTACCTCGCGTTGGAGGAGACTCGGTCCGATGGTTTCGATGCTTCCTTTTCTCCTTTCGTGACCGCGTCACGATTCGCGATGTGCACGCCGTGTATCGCTACGCCGATCGACGTGTCGTCGCGCGCAAAGCCCCGGAAATACCGCGCCCGTCCCGAGCGCGCCTAGCCATTCGAATGGACGCTCGACAACAATCCTTGCGTTGTTTCAACGCTTCTCATGGTTCTCCATCCGCGTCGAGGGTCACCGCGTGTTTGGGCGAGGACGTTGACGGACACTCGATTGCTAATAAAGTATTCCAGGGAGAATCGAGAGTTTTGAATAATAATCTTGTTTGTCGACAGGGAACGAATGATACGGACGCATGTAACGCGCGAATTTGAATAGCATGATGAGTAAACGATTGATTGCAGCCTTTGCGAAACGTTGACTAGCCTATTCAAACTCTAGAATTGCACTAAATTTCACAGTTTATCACAGTTTCAATCGATTCCATTCGCTGGAACACTCGATATTCATGTTTATGTGAAACCGACGTCAACGGTATTCCAGCAATGTGAACCCTTTGCAAAACGTTGGCTAGCGTATTCAAACTGTAGAATTGTACTAAATTTCACAGTTTATCACAGTTTTAATCGATTCCATTGGCTGGAACACTCGATATTTATGTTTATGCCCAACTAGCGATACGGTATTCGAGTGATGTGAACTCCTTGCAACAGCCAATTCCTGTCAGAATATATTGTCGAATATATCGTAGTCTCTCTAACATCTTATGAATATTGTTTAAAGCTTGGATAACATCAATGCAGCTTAAAGTGCATGAATTAGGTATCATTTGGAAGGACTTGTTGCTCCTTTTCGGGGCTCCAGGTCCCCCCACTTCCGGTTCGGAAGTTACCAATCATTCTCAGTTATAACTCTGCCAACGCGAATGTATGTACGAATATGAATCCATGTATTTTTTTAGAAAGTTAACCCGTGACATAGCTGAGAATAGCTTGAAAACAAAAATTACATAGAAACAAACTTGTTCCTATTTAAAAAAAAAAAAAAAAAACGCTAGATACGTCGCCACGATACCATCTGAGAAAATGAAGGACAAGATAATGGAAATATTCACGAATAACGGGTAACGGAATACGGATATCAACGCGCCATCTATGAAGTTCTTGGCGTAATCGGAAATTAAAATTGACATATATGGTCATTGGAATTTCCTTTATACGGTCGGTAAGTACACCGCAATAAAGAATCATATCGTAAGCGGCCAACAAACGCATCAGTTTGAAGTGTCGCGCGTCAGTCACTTCACCGGAAATCTAAAGATACGTTAAATAATTAATATTGTATACCTCTGAACTGACCAAAAACTATAGTTAAAAAACGTATAAAATTAATATTCGATGACTATGGAAGAGCTGCTAAATATAATCTTGCTCTTAATTCGAATTCAAGATCACGAGGAACCTGTGGCTTCGCGAGTTATGCGAACAATGCAGTCACAGATGGCAGCACTTTGATTCGCGAGAAATCGCGGAATGCGACGCGTAAACAGAGGAGATAAATGGCAAAGAAACGGATGCGGTGTTCCAAAGGTCGTCTGTAAAACAAACGTGTGATGAGTAACGCACGCTCCAAATTCGTGCAACGCCAAGCAGGACGTTTTGCAATGGCGTTAAAGCGCTTCAACATCGTCGGTTTAAATGCTTCTAACGAAGCGGATTTGTGGGAGCACGTTCCGGGAGCTTACGCAATTGCCCTCTCGGAGTTTCGAATAAAAGAGTCGTACTGGATCCGCGTACAACAGTCCACGTATTTTTAGAATGTTGACGGTTGCCACTCGTGTTTGGTTTAGATAGACGCCAGGCAACGTCGACGCAAGCTGGGACGCAAGTTAGGTCCATTTTTAAAAAGTTCCCCCGAAAATATTTCTCGTCGGAAACCGTGTAGCATTGACCTCACAAGATTACTCATTATATAACAATGAGGTGTTTTTAAAGAATGCGCGATAAAGCGAAGATAAAAATGTATTAGGACGGACTTATGTGTGCTCGAATGACCAATACCTCGCTAATCTGTATTCTTGTTGTCGAGTGCTTGCAAGGATTTCATTGCGTATGAAGAATCTATATATTTTTCAATTCTTTACCTATTTATTCCATTGTGTATGAAACATTAATTAATAAAGAGTTTGGTACCTAAATAAAAAAGAGCAAATATCATTGTAGTGATCTATACATGTAATCTAATCCAACGATGTATTTTATATTAACCAAGGAAATCGAATATGATGTATAATACTCGACGAATGAGTATGAGATACAAGAGTATCAAGTTTGTCACATGTTCTAAACACTGAATACATATATTTTAATTAAAAAATTCTAATTCCCGATTCTATATAATATTTCAAAAAACAATAAGAAAATATTTCACGAAATATTTAATTGCCACCTCACTTTTGAGCCCAAGTGTACTATCAACAAGCAGATAACGCTTCCAAATTTGGCACCGTTGCATCGCGTCCTCGACGATGTTTACAAAAAGGCGGGGCTGTATTTTAAAAGTGAATCAGCGAAACCGTCACGTCGGCACACGTTGACATGATAAGGAAAGGATTCGGACTATTCGAAACACGATTCGTCTGGTCGTCTGTATAAGAATGCCATTTATCGTGAACGGTGCGAGAATCACGCCTAACCCATTGTCCCCGTTCGCTAACCCTAACAATAAGTGTTCTTTGTCGGGCGATCGTGCGTCGTTAAGCCCGGCCGAGTAGTCTTTCGGTACCCGATGCGCTTCTAATGGTCGCTTAATTATTATTACACGGTCGCTACCAGTGGTGCATTATTCATTTAGTGCGAACAATGCCGGCCAATTTCGATTTCCAGATGGCAACGAGAAATTAACGGCCTCGATCGGCCTTTCTCTCGGTGGCGCAACCAAGAATCCCAAACGGAACTTGAACAATACCTTCTCTCGTTCGTGGTCATAGATAAAACATTTTTGACATTTTTCTTTACTTCGGTAAACGTTAAACAAAATTTGTTTAATTCCTTCAGAGTACGCAACCCTTTGCTCCTCTGAGCGAGCCACTTGACTTTCTCTAATCAGCATTCGAGGCGGTTCGGTAAATTTCCAGGATGCTCGCAGTCAGAGCGTAGAATTAAAATTAATAAAAGATTAAATAAGATTCGTATCGTTTTAACTTTGGACAGCGTTCGATTTAATGGTCTGAGTAACGTCATCGCGGGTAACCGCTAGATCACCTAACTGCGTATGTTTTTACCCGGTTCTCCTCCTTATATATGGTATCGAATTCACGGAGATTATCTTGTCCGTGGAGGCGACAGTAAACCGAGAGGACCGAGCGCGAGAGCGACGAGGTGTGACGAGAGACGAGAGAAAGCAAGACGCCATCGCATAATATAGTTTTGTTATCAGATGCGGAATGACCTCTGGGGACCCGTTGACCGATGTCACTGATGCGTCAAGGTCGCATCACGCCGCTGGTGACCTTTCGTCACGCGACGTGTTCACGGATCAGAGTTTGGATAATTATCTAGATAAAACGTTTTTTTTCGAATCGTAAATGATCTCATTCGAATATGGAACTCTAGAATACAATCTCAATCTTTATTCGATTAACCTTTGCGGCCACAAGCACGAATAAGTAATTCGTAATGTAAACGAGGAGGCATTCCTTATGCACGTGTTTTGCCCGTGTAGTTGCTGCAAGCTACTTTTATGCGGTACTTGTTTTCGTGAGTAGAATGCATTCGTCACCTTTTGTATGGATCGTGCAATTTTTCTGTGACTTGCGTAATATTTGATGTATTTTTATGTGGCGAGTGTCATCTGTCGCATTTTTGTAATCTTAGGTGTATGCATGGGATTTTTAGGATACCAACACGCACAACATGTGTTCTCATTTGCATAAGGAATGAATATTCATTTACCCGTCTTCGTTGTTCGAAGACCTCGTTAACCCGAATAAGGAAATAAAAGTTTCATCTAGATAAAGTGTCACACGTTATTCGTCATCTGGTCAAAAGTGTGCCAAACTCTGCCACGTCCCACGGGCGCATCGCGAGACGCTTGTACGACATACTGACCCGTTTCAGTTGGTTTCCCATAATGTTCTGCAATTCGTTCCTAATGAGACTGAACTTGATCATCGTGTCGCTGGAGAATATGGAAGAGCCAAACGCCAGTCCAGGATAATCGGCGCATCTCCTTCTTCTGGCCTCTCTCTCAGCCTGTACCTCTGCCCTCTCGCTGGGACACCTAAGCAAGGCGAGTTCGGCAAGCTCAGGATCTTCCTCGACGTTCGTTGACTCGTCGTCGGAGGTCCCGTCACCTCGAGCCCTCGCGACCGCGTGCTCGGGCTCGAGAGATGTTCCTTTGCTTCTCGATTCGAAGGAATCGTCTTTGTATACGTTCTTCCCACGTGGTCCCGTTCGAGACCTGTCCAACGGTTCGATGTCAAAGCTGTCATAGCTCTCGGTTTCGTTTTTCTGGTGAACGGACTGCTCGTGTCGTTCGTTGAGAACATCCAGGCTACACTGCGCGAGCCTCTGTCGGATGTTCTCCTTGTCATTTTTCTCGAGAGTGTTCTTCGCGTTGCTCGTGTCTTTCTTCGTTGTTAATTGATCCTTTCGTGATTCGTTCGTGGATCCCACTACCGTTGGATCTCGGAGCCACCTCGCGCCGACGATCGTTGCTCTTGTCACCGCGGGAGAGCATTCCGTGTCGATGACATTGCTCTTTTCCTCGAGTCTCGTCGACGTAGGTGACGTTTCGTTAACGTCGATCGCCGCATTTTTAATAAAGCCAGCAGGGCCACACTGCGCGGGTCCTCTGCTGGAGGCGTCAAGACGTCGGCGCGTTGCGTGTCGCGGATGATGCTGATGACCGCGACGTCTTGTGGTCGACGCAAGAGCTGGCTCCATACTACGTTGTCCAGCTGTCAACCCCCTTACCTGGACACCTGCGTTCCACTTGTCTTTTTTTATTTCAACGTGCTGTACGCACCACCGTCGTTACCACCGTACAAGGCACACCGCCATCTTGTCTGTCACTGTTCGTAACACGTTTCTCACCGCGCCACGCATACGTCTCTCCGCGCAGTCTTTCCGTGTGCACGCACACAAACACACGCGCAAACGCATGCACGAGAGGAGACACGTTGGTCTCCGCTCTCCGCACCGTCCAGCTCTGATTTCTGTCTTGCTTTCACTCTCTGCGTCTCCGTCTGTCGCTCTTTGCGCGATTCAGGTTTCCCCCTCCTATTACGCCCACGACAACGAACCGAACGTTTCCGGGACTCCCCGAACGAACGAAGCGGCGGCTACGCGTACTAACCCTCGACTGTTCGCTCGCTGGGCGAAATACCTACTCTCGATGTTTGGAGCGCATGCGCGCCATTGCCGCGACATCTCGTGAGTGGGAAATTTAACACAGTTACGTCGATAACGACGCGCTACATGATAAGGGATGTTTGGTAAATTGTATTCTTTATGTTTACTCAATTGATTAGACCAATTTTTATTTGGTCACTTTAAGAAACGAGATTCTATAATTTAAATTCATATTCCTGTTTGAGTTAGTGGAGTATCTTATATAGTGAATATAGATTTTATCAATTTTTTGGAGGATACGTTGGTCGTACCTTCTTAGGGTAGTTTTCGTCGATATTTTCTCATTCTTGTATAATAGATCTATGATTGGCAAAATTTTATTTTTAGTGATTACTCTTTTGAGATAAGCTGTTAAGATTTTTATTGAACGAATAACGGATCAAAAGTGTTTCGTCTCGTACTTCATCGAACTTGTTTATTCTCGTTGGTCTGAACTATCGCTGATACCATATCAACTGTTGCTTTTAATGAATAATTTCCAATAAAAAAAAGTATGTGGGTACTCACGTTCTGCAGAGCTTTGTCCTTCTCCTCCAATTTAGCATTGACCTGCATGAGGGCCTCTTGAGTTTGATCGAGTTCATTTTCGATGGTCTGGATCTTCTTTTGCAGAGCGCGAGCCTCCTCCTCAGCCTTTACAAAAACGAATATTTCGCATCAAAGAACGATAATTAAATCAAAACTAATATTACCTCTTGCTAAAGAAATTGTATCGATATAAAATATATAAAAATTCGCATGGCCTATTGAACATTGTTTTCCGACTCAAACGCGAAACTTTCAGGTCTATAATTAAAATTTTTGAACGGTTGCCAATCCTATATTGCATTTTTATCGCCAGGCTATTACTTCATCGCTATTTGCGTCGTCCATGTAGGAAGATAAGTAAGCAAGTTTGGAATTTTCACGTATGGATATCGAGTTACTTTTTTCTTTATTTATATATTGATACGAGAGGATCTCCTTTACCCATCAGGATTCCCAATCGATTACTTTCAATAACTGCTGAAAGGATTAACACTGAATTGTGTACTATGCGATTACTCGACACTTTTGGTATTTTCTAATTTACCTTTTCAGCTCGCGCATTTGCATCGCGGGCTTGCTGTTCGCAGAGCAACGCGCGGTCCATCGCGTTGTCCTTCTCCAGCTTCATACCCTGCATCTTCTTCTTGATCGCGTCCATGGCGGCGGTTTTGTTTTCTCACTCGTTTACGGTGAAAAGAAAAGGTATCTACAACAATGAACAACAAACCGTTATTATCCAGAGTTTCTTAAGACTTTGAGATATCGTTAGAAGGGTGGGTCATCCACTGAGGGAACGAGGCTCGAGGTGGGTTAATGAAAGTAAAACGTAGATCTTTTTGGAGCCTACTCATTAAAAGATTTAGTTCCTTATAAGAATATTGATATGGAATTTGCTCTAAAGGTTCACAGGATGGATACTTTCAGAAAATGCAAAAAGGAAGGGGTAGGTTCGTGGAAACCTCTAAAGTGAGACGAACTCTCGGTAATCGAGTGCGTATATGCGTTCCCATACGCTTATCTTCATCGATAAACTGTACTTTTTAATTTTCACCGTGCTCGCTCGTTTCCCCCACGGATCGATTCCCAAGGAAGCCAGGAGATTCTCGGCGCTAATCGCGTCGGTGATTTGAATGATGTGAATGACCGTGAGACAATATCACGGTCGCAATTAACGGCAAACCCGTCTTAATTATATTTCCTTTTTTTTCCTTCCTCTCTTTCCGCGTTGTGCTTCCTAGAGGTGAGAATAATTGCCGTGGAAATTCTGGGATCGCTCGGAGATTCGTGCATTCGTTCGGGACCACGGGCAAGCATGCATCGAAGTATAATTAGCGAACGCGACCGGATATCCTATTTATAGAGGCAGGTTCTTGCTCAAGAAGGCCCGGGCTCTGTACCGTGTCCGTGTACACATAAAAAAAAAGACCCGATGGGATCATTCTAATGTAGAGTAGAACGAATCATTTTCGTTCCACTGTCATTGTAAATTTCGTTTTTGTGCGATAGCAAATTTTATGCGTTAGCGTTCGTTAATTTTCTAGGATAAAAATATTGTACAGATATCTAATATGTATCTGTACCTGTATTTAATTATACATTGTATAAAATTAGATAAAATTGTATTCAGAGTATACAATTGCATGGAATTGTATAGGATTAAATGTATATGTACAAAATTGAATGTCTTGGCGCGTCCTTCCTCTCGTGACGTCATCCGCTCAGGTATGCGATCCTCCAGGACGAGCCGAGTGAAACGAGAGGATCCTTGGCGGCACCGTTCGCATTTTATGCGCTCGTTTCTCTCTCCGTAGCGAAACCGATGCGTCGCGACCAGAGACCAGCCAGGGAGGAACGGGTTAATTTTCTTCCCAGAAACATTCCTGCCGTTGCTTCCTTCGCGAATGCCCTCATCGACCGGGAATTTTCAATGTTCCTTCCCCCTTTTTTTTATTCTTAGGCGGGAGGGAGAATTTTCGCAAGGACGTAGCGTAGTAGGAAATTTTGATTCTTTGTTCATTTTTGACTTCGCAGATTGATCAAAAAGAAGGATCACATCAGGTACGATAATATTTATGAACGCTTCGTAGAAGGAGATTCGCGTCTTCTGAGATCAATTAAATTAAATTAATTACGATTTAATTTCGAACTCTCGCGTGGAAGTATCGCATTATGAAATAATTTGTATAACTCTTTTCAAGGTCATGATTTCTCGAAGAGGATCCAGAATGGGGTCGGAACGATGGGTGCCAAGTAACGCATTTAATTTTACACTGTTCCACTGGACTGATTGTAACTCTCATTTATTTTTAACGAAATTTACAGAGCGCAAATAAAAAGCCTACGTTGCCATACTTCTTCCCCCATTACATATGAACGCCCAGTACCAAATGTAACTCAACCCTTAAACAAAGCTACCTGCAGTAAACCTATCAATTTCACAAGACTTTTATTTCGAGTATCCTTTCCATCCCTATGATTTTTCCAAATTCCAATCAAGTTGTCTCAGGACTCAAATGTCTCCGAAGAATCATCTCACGAAAATACTTACACACCTCGAAAGTAGAAATTTCGCGCGGTATGAAAAAAGTGTGACATTCAAAAGTAGGATTTAGCTGAGTTTACGGTAATTCTTTCTCGTTTGAAATTTCCTCGAAACTTCCTTGGAGGGGATTCGTCAGTGTTGGTTGCACCTACGCTACTGCACGGATCCCTGCATCCGCGACATTGGCATCCATGCCAGCGAACGTGCATGATTCCAGGCTCGGTGGTAATCAGAGATGCCAGGTAAGCATGGAACGAAAGGAAAACGGGGCTCCAGCAGGTTCGGAGAAACGGATATCCTAGACTCTATTCGTCTGAGAAGCGGGCTAATAACAATTGACTTCCATGTCATTCAATGAAAATTAAAAAAAAAATATTTAATTTAACTAACGGTGCCCTCAGAAGTGTCAAATACGATATCAATTCTTTGGTGCCTGGAATTAAATGGAGTACATATTAACTACTTCCTTTTTAGATGGATCGTAATCTATTTTGTTCCATATTGTAATTTAAGAAAAGAAATTCGATGAAGCATCGAGAATCTTCGATTGAGCAGTCGAAACGGAATTGGATAAAAAAATAAGCAGAACCGCCAGGTCCTAAAGACGCGCGTATCGGCGGAGAGGGTTATTTTTACACGCGAGAGGAGAGGGTGGAATCGTTGCTAACCGCCTGGCGTCGAACCTTTTCGGGTTACGCGGAGCCTAGCTTCGTTACTCCATCTGGATCGGTATCTTGTTACGCTCGATGGAAGATTTTGCTACTCGCAAACATTCTGAATCGATACAATTATCCGTTCTTTTCAGAACTGACTTTTCTTTCTCCCTACGGTACAGAACTTTGACTGTGTCGAGTAATTTTTGGATAAACCAAGTCATAAAACTTGCAATTTCTCTTAGGACTGGTCTTCCCTTCTCCCTACAATACAATCCTACCAAGACTGATCTTTCTTTCTCCCTACAATACAATATAGACACTCTTAAGTTATTTTTCACATTTTCAGGCTTCGCCGAATCTGGCTACAATGCCTACCCCAACTCAACTTTCAGTTTCTCCTAGAACTGTTTTTCCCTTTTCCCTACAATACACCCCTACCAAGGCAAATTTGTTTTCCTCCCTGGAATACAATATAAACCGGTTATTTTTTTCATATTTTCAAGCTTCACCGAGTCCAAGTACATTCCTCCTTGCTTTCTTCTCTCTAACCCACACTAAGATCATGAAACTCAGCATCCATATCTTCGCAAGTCCTCGAACTACCGGAACGCGCCAGAAAATCAGTATTTGTTCATCCCATCGTCTATGCAATGCGTAAAAATAGACCGCAGTGCCCGTAACGAGACACTGTCTATTCCGAGGCATTCGCACTGCACTGATTGCAGTTCTCCAATTGTTTATACAGAATAAGACTCGCGGGCGCCACGTTCGCATTCTTTCGCGGATCTCTTATCAGATAACGAGTTCGGAGCAACACCTGGATACCGGTGTGTCCCGCTGCTCGACAGAAATTCCAGTCTGCCTCGCGATGAAAGGAGATCGTCGATCTGGACAATGTTGTCGCGGCGGTTACGCGCGAATGCCTGAAATTTTTCATGAGTCACACTTTTCCGGCGACGTCGGCGCGCCTCTTGCATCAGGGGAACCTAACACGTTCGCGAAACGTTGCTCAGAGTTTGCTTACATCGGGGAATAACTCGAAATCGCGGTCAATTTAGAGAGCAAAAATGTTCACGTAGCAACTGGAC